GCCCCAGTCTTGCGGAAACCCATTAGATCCAAACACGAAAATTCGCGGTTCGATATCCACCCAGAAACGCGTGAGCCGGAATCAATATCTCCCTTCTCTCGGCCCCTCCGGTCTCTCTTTTTCCTCTCATCCTCCTCAGCCTTGCTTGGGACTTATCTCTCCTCTCTACAATTGTTCTAAAGTCCTTTGATCTGCTTGAGTAATACGACTATCATTATACCCCTCTTCGTCTTTCTAGTTCCTCAGTTTCACGTACTCGCCGGGTCTCTTCCCGCTGTCCTGCAAGATGTTTGTCTACAAGAGAGGTATGTTTGAGCCATATCAGCCTAGCACAGATTTCTCTCTGTCTTATTTGTGATGTGGACGCGTCGTCCTCGAATCTGCACGAGATTTGAATCGCCGCCACTCGCTGGACGAAGTTTGCTAACGCATTATTAATCACAGATGGACGCAAAGAACGCGTGCAATTTGACAAGATCACGGCTCGTGTCTCAAGGCTGTGTTACGGTCTTGACCCGGAGCACGTCGATGCTGCTGCTATCACGCAGAAGGTCATCTCTGGTGTCTACCAAGGTGTCACCACCGTCGAACTTGACAACCTGGTATGAACGTTCATGTTCCCAACGCACTGTTCTATGCTGATACCACTCTTCAAAGGCTGCTGAGACCGCCGCGTACATGACCGTTACCCACCCAGACTATGCCATCCTTGCCGCTCGTATTGCGGTCTCGAACCTCCACAAACAAACTAAGAAACAATTTTCTCTCGTCATCTCAGATCTCTACCACTACGTCAACCCAAAGAATAAAAAAGAAGCACCTATGATATCCAAGAGCACATACGAAATTGTGATGAAACATGCAGAAGAGCTCAACTCTGCTATCGTGTACGACCGCGATTTCAACTACAACTTCTTTGGCTTCAAGACTCTTGAGCGATCATACCTTTTGCGACTAGATGGAAAGGTTGCCGAACGTCCTCAGCACCTGTTGATGCGTGTTGCTGTTGGAATTCACGGCAGCGATATTGAGCGAGCAATCGAGACCTACAACCTGATGTCCCAGAAGTACTTCACACATGCCTCCCCGACTCTGTTCAATGCAGGCACTCCTCAGCCCCAGCTGGCTTCTTGCTTCTTGGTCGATATGAAGGAAGATAGCATTGACGGTATTTACGACACACTGAAGACCTGCGCTCTGATCTCAAAGACCGCTGGTGGTATTGGCTTGAACGTCCACCGCATCCGTGCCACTGGCTCTTACATCGGCGGCACCAATGGATCATCCAACGGTATTGTTCCCATGCTCCGGGTGTTCAACAACACCGCCAGATACGTCGACCAGGGAGGAAACAAGCGTCCCGGTGCCTTTGCCATCTATCTGGAGCCGTGGCACGCTGATGTTTTCGAGTTCCTGGACCTGCGCAAGAACCACGGAAAGGAGGAAGTGCGAGCTCGTGACTTGTTTTATGCTCTTTGGACTCCCGATCTGTTCATGAAGCGAGTCGAGGCCAACGGTGACTGGACCCTCTTCTGTCCCAACGAGGCTCCTGGTCTGGCCGATGTCTACGGTGACGAGTTCGAGGCTCTTTATGAACAGTACGAGAAAGAAGGCCGTGGTCGCCGAACCATCAAGGCTCAGAAGCTCTGGTACGCCATTCTGGAGGCCCAGACCGAGACTGGAAACCCCTTCATGCTTTACAAGGACGCTTGCAACAAGAAGAGCAACCAGAAGAACTTGGGAACTATTCGCAGCTCCAACCTCTGTACCGAGATTATTGAATACACTGCTCCTGATGAGGTCGCTGTTTGCAACTTGGCCTCTCTTGCCCTGCCTACTTTCGTCGATGCTGCCCGCGGCGAATACGACTTTGGCAAGCTTCATGAAGTTGTTGAAGTCCTGGTTCGCAACTTGAACAAGATCATCGACATCAACTACTACCCTGTGCCCGAGGCCAAGAAGAGCAACTTCCGCCACCGCCCGATCGCTCTTGGTGTCAACGGTCTGGCTGATGCATTCCTTGCCTTGCGCCTGCCCTTCGACTCCGCCGAAGCCAAGCAGCTTAACATCCAAATCTTCGAGACCATCTACCACGCTGCGCTGACCGCTTCTTCGGACCTGGCCAAGGAATACGGACCCTATGAGACCTACGAAGGCTCGCCCGTTTCCCAAGGTATCCTGCAGTACGACATGTGGGAGCGTACCCCCACTGATCTGTGGGATTGGGACGCCCTCAAGGCCAAGATTGCGCAGACTGGTGTCCGCAACAGTCTTCTCGTTGCGCCCATGCCTACTGCCAGTACCAGTCAGATTCTGGGCTTTAACGAGTGCTTTGAGCCTTACACATCCAACATCTACTCTCGCCGTGTTCTTGCGGGTGAGTTCCAGGTTGTCAACCCTTGGCTGCTCAAGGACCTTGTTGACCTTGGTCTCTGGTCCGACAACATGAAGAACCGCATCATTGCGGATGGCGGTTCCGTGCAGAACATCCCCAACATCCCCGACGACATCAAGGCTCTTTACAAGACTGTGTGGGAGCTCTCGCAACGACGAATTCTGGAGATGGCCGCGGACCGTGGTGCTTACATTGACCAGTCTCAGTCGCTTAACATCCATCTGAAGGAGCCCACCATGGGCAAGATTACTAGTATGCACTTTGCTGGTTGGAAGATGGGCTTGAAGACTGGAATGTATTACCTCCGTACGATGGCTGCCTCTGCTCCTATCCAGTTTACTGTCGACCAGGAGCAGCTCAAGGTTGCCGACACCAACATCGCACGATCAAGCAAGAAGAGGGCTGGTGGCATTGCGGCTAGCACCTACTCGGCTGTTCCCCGTGCTCCTGCCGGCCAGGTGAACGGAGCCAGTGAAAACGCCACAATTGGCATTTCCCGCGAGGCCGACGTCAACAGCGAGGCTGACAACTCAGAGGAAGAGAAGAAGGAAGGCGAGCCCAGCGAGGCGGACATCTACTCGCAGAAGGTTCTTCAATGCAGTATTGAGAACAAGGAGGCCTGCATTATGTGCCAGGGCTGATTCATTGTTTTTGGTTCAACGGTGTTTTACTTTAATGTTGGGTTCCTTTGTACTTATATCACGGGTTATGGATATTGTCTTTATGTTTCATTTTTCTGCGTCATGATATTTTCCTTGGCCGGGCACATTTTACACCTGTCCAAATCAACTGGCCGGGCTGGTTGTTATGGTTGTCTACATACTTAGGTAGATTGGTTTGCAATCGAATATGTATCTATTCATAAGCTGGATTCCCATCTAGACTGTCGGTGCATTATTCAGGGCCAAAAATGCGGACCTTTGATTCAGAACTGGGCTCGAGTACTAGAATTGGTCAATGAAAGCGGGGTGATCACAACGGTGAGCAAAGAGTCGTGTTCTGGCCCCATTGACCCTGTGCTGCAAAGGACAGAGGTTCGCTTCAATTGTTCATGCAGCAGAGTATGACAGACGACGGGCCACATTGTTTTGCCCCCGTGGATGAAACAGCCCTCGAGCATGAATTCTGACAATGCATATATACATCAGGCTGTGACTGGTTCCATACTGTCAGGACAAATTCGCGAGAATTTTTTTCGTGAAGCAACTGCCGCCGAGTAAGAGTAAGACATCACTAAGACACCAAGAAGACGAGCCCTTGTCATAAAAATACGAGCCCACTGCGCCTCTGAAACCTCTCAAACCCAGATGCGCCAGTCAAGTGGCGCAATCCCGGTCACCGAAGAAGGCCAGGAGAGGCCAGGCCAGTACAGAAAGCGAAGGCGAAGGCGAGGGCTGATCAAGCAGCGAATGGCGCGATGGCTGGTGGACAGGAACAGGATCCATCGACATTCCAGCGCCTCCAATTGCTGTTGAAGGAAGGCTTTCAGCCCACGTCAGAGGGGAAGAAACTTCAAGGCCCGATGTGGCCCAGCCGCCCAGGGCCGGCTGCCAAGCGTGGCTTTCAGGCACCGTCTTACTCTTTGGAGTTGGACCGTCTCTTTGGCTGCTGATCCCCCTGGCGTTTCTGACCAAATTTACAAGCAAAGGAGCGCTAACAAACCTAGCCTGGTTGGCGAGCAATGTTGGCAACCGATCCAGACCCTGCACTGAACCAGTCTGGTTATTTGTTTCAGCCTGTTGAGATCGCTCCGAAGGCCCCGAGCCTCGAGGGGCATTCCCATTTCCCAGTGGGTTGGACAGGTCAGAGATGAGATGGCAGCAGATGATTTATCGGTCTGCATACTCCGTGCAAATGAGCAGAGGGGTGGGAACCATGGGAGTTTGTGCGGTAATCAAACGGCGGTTGGGCGTGGGTCCTGCTCTGCCACACTCTCGGGGATCATTGGAAGGCAGCGGTTCTTTGTTGCCCGCGTAAGATGGAGACTGTAAGACAGCCAAACACATCGAGTAAAATGAGATTAAATACCGCCCAGACCCTCGCGTCTCTCGTCTGATTTCTTCCGCTTCTTCTCTCCATCCTCGTTTTCATCTCATCCGCTCATTGACAAGCGTCTGCCACTCCCTTCTGCATTTCTGCAGCTTTCACTCCTTCATTCCAATCCCTCGATCCCGTTGATTACGAGCTGCTGTGCAGTCGCTATCAACTGTTCGTTCCTTGATACACCAGGGCGCTTGTCTGTCTCTTTGCTCCGGTCCTTGAATATATAACACCGCCAACGCGACATCACCACACAATGGCACCCCTCATCAAGTCTCTCGCCCTTGCTGCCACAGCCCTTGCTGCCCTGACTGCTGCTGCCCCCAGCCATGGCCACAGACACCACCACAAGCGCGGCGAAGAGGTTACCGTCTGGAAGACCGTGACCACCGTCGTCTGGACCACAGTCGACGTTACAACCACCATCACCGCCGGCCAGGAGGCTCCTCCCACCACCATTGTCGAGTCCACTGTCGAGGAGGCTACTGCTCCTGCTGAGCCTGAGAACGAGCACGAGCCCGAGACCACCTCTTCCTACGTTGCCCCTTCGACCACCAGCAGCACCAGCACTGCCAAGCCCACCTCGACTGCTGAGCCCGAGGTGCCATCCGTCGATGCCAACGTGCAGGTTCCCGAGCCTACCACTACCAGCACCACCGTCTCCACCGAAGCTCCCGCTCCCACCACGCAAAGCACCACCATTGTTGCCGCTCCTATCGTTGCCGTCGAGACCTCAAGCGAAGAACCCGAGCCTGCCGCTACGTCTTATGCCAGCTCCGGCTCCAGCTCCAGCTCTAGCTCCGGAAGCAGCGGCTCCTCTGGCCCTTGCTCTTCCGAGTCTCCCTGCACTGGTCAGATCACTTTCTACGACACCGCCACCTCCGCGAGCGCCCCTAGCAGCTGCGGCACGACCAACGACGGCAGCAGCGAGAATGTCCTTGCTCTTCCTGTTGGTATCATGAAAGACAGCGACTGCGGAAGGACTGTCACTATCAAGTACGGCGGCAAGACTTCCACGGGCACTGTTGTCGACAAGTGCATGGGCTGCGACGACACCTCGATTGACCTGTCGCGCCACTTCTTCAGCGAGTTGGCCTCGTTCGACGCGGGCAGACTCTTCGGTGTCGAGTGGTGGTTGGATTAGACTCGCTTTGCTCTATGTCGTTGTTGTCTTCTTACCGTTCTTACATTCGCTATACCATACTTTTTCTCCTTCGTATCTCGTGGATGACTCTTTGAGCGTTCATGCGATCATTTATCGTTCATGTTTATAAGATTTATGTGGTTGTTGCAAAGTTATCCCAACCAAGCCATTTGTTATCTTTCATGGATCAAAAGCAGAACGGATGAACATGGACAGGATCTGGAATCCCGCTGGTTTATGACGTTACGAATCAAGTGTTTTCAGCAAGCTGTCTGTAGTTTTGTAACTATTATGATAGACAATGACTAGTAGACTGTTAGTAGACTAGACTGTCGGTCTGACTTGCATTGATCGGCGACATTGACCGATGGAGCTGTTCGGTAAAGGGTTCACGGGTGCATAGCCGACGGTCAGCTGAAGGATCCTGTGCGTGCTGAGTTGTCGATGCAATAATTGATTGCAGTATTAGCTCCTCCGTCCTCAGAGGGAATTAATTCAGATCGGTTGTATGATGGAGAGATAACCTTAAGCTCGGCTTCCCCGGGTTCAGACCCAGTGGGTTGGAACAAGATTCCGGGGTATGTCAGTAGTAGACCACCACGAGTCGAGTGCATCATAAGCATCGACCAAACTCTGGATAACGGTCAGGAATGATGACGCCTCGCGGGAGCATCCATGATTCCCAGGTCTCAACCAAGGTCCGGCCTCGAGCATCGAGCATTGGCAATTTATTAAAATGCAATCCCTTGACCCACGCGGCACGACGCCCTGTTTTCGACTTCCCCTCGCTTCCGACCTCTTTTTTGTTTCTCCCTCGAGTCGCCCTCTGACTCTTCTCTCTGCCCCGGATTCTCTGGCTGTCTACTCGTGTGCTCTCAGTATCACCTCGAGTCCAGCCTCTCCACTCTCTTCGTTGTCTAGCGGGGACAAGTGGACACGCCTCCAGCGGCCATGGACTTCTCGCACTTCCCCAAGTGAGCCGTTACATCATGGAGGACCGCAGACCCGAAGTCCTCGTCGTCTCCATTGTCTTCTTCAGCCTCGCTACCATATTCGTCGCCCTCCGCTTTGTCTCGCGCATTTGGATTGTCCGGAGACTCGCCCTGCACGACTATTTGATGCTCGTGGCGTGGGTATGCTTGCATGGCCCAATTACCTCGGTCCCGTCTCGCAAACTGACAGTGATCTTTCTCACCAGCTTATTGACCTAGGATTTTCTACTGCGCTGTTCTATGCCACCAAACAAGGGCTCGGTCTCCACGATGTCGACATCCCTGTCGCCTCGAGATCGGCCCTCAGCAGCGCTAACTATGCCTTTACCGTTCTATATGTGAGTTAGTCCTGCAGCTGGCCGGGATATTCCGCTCATTTCCGCGCGCTTGTTTAGAATCCCGCCTTGATGGCCGTCAAGTCCTCCATCCTCGTCTTCTACCTCACCCTCACTCAAGGCGAGAAGATTTTCCGCTACGCAAACTACGCCACTTTGTTCGTTGTCAATGCGGCCGGCCTGGCGCTCACGCTGGTCAACATCTTCCAATGCCGACCCGTCGCAGACGCATTCGCAGCGCAGCTCCCCGCCGATGCGCATTGCACCGATATCCTGACCTTATACCTATCCTCGTCGCCGGTGAATATCATTACCGATCTAGCGATCTTGGTCCTTCCGAACCCGATCCTGACGCGCATGCGGCTGCCGCGGAAACAGAAGATTATCCTCGTGATCACTTTCAGCTTTGGCTTCTTCGTCGCTGTCGTTGATGTTGTCCGCATCGCATACCTGCAGGAGGCTACCACCGATCGAGAGATCGCGTTCCGGCAAATCCACCTCCAAAATTATGGAGGAGAAGACTTTGCTTGTACGTCCCGCTGGTCCCTTGGTTAAACAAACGCTGACTTCCGTAGGGTATGCGTCGCTTTCGTTCATGTGGTCCGTTGTGGAGGTCAATGTCTCGGTTATGTGTGCCTGCGTTCCCAGTCTGAAACCGCTAGTTGCCAGGCTGGTCCCGAAAATGATCCGCGACAGCATTGGGGGCACTCAAACGAGTCCGTCTGACCCTCTACCGCTGCCGGCATCAGGACCACATATGCCAACCGCAGATGCTATCCTCGAGGAGACGGTGAGCCCGGCGATTCTGCCAGAGATTGCCACTGTGCCTACTGTAGCTACCACATTTACCGATACTGAAGCCAACACGACCACGATGACGAGCACTTCAGACCCGCGCAGCATGACGTTTTTCGACTTCGTCAACATGAAGAAGCCCGCGAATATGCTTAAATTGAGCAACAAGGAATCAATAGCCCCGAACGCTATCACGACCGTCCTGTTCTTCCTCTGGGGCTTTGCTTACGGTTTTCTGGATATTCTCAATGAACAGTTCCAGGAGATTGTGCGCCTGGACAGCTGGCGGTCGCTCGGTCTTCATTGCGTATACTTTGGCGGGTATCTGATAGCTCCACCGCTGGTTGGACGTACAGTGCTCAAACACTGGGGCTTCAAGGCGACCTTTATTACCGGCCTGTGTTTCTACGCCTGCGGGTCGTTGATCTTCTGGCCATCCGCCGTGTTGACTTCCTATTCTGCATTTCTCGTGTCCAACTTTATCACTGGATGCGGACTTGCTATTCTGGAAACTGCAGCGAATCCGTTCATCTCGCTCTGCGGACCGCTAGAGAATTCGGAAGTACGATTGAATATATCTCAAGGGGTTCAAGCTGTTGGAAGCGTTCTCTCCCAACTACTCGCCAAACGCGTCTTATTTCGCAGTGTGACTGATGTCTCCTCACTAGTCGACGTGCAATGGACATACCTCGGAATCGCATTGTTTGACGTCCTTCTAGCAATGGTATTTTACTACTTACCAATCCCGGAAGCGTCCGACGAAGACCTGGAAGAACTAGCTAATCGGCGACGAGACGACAACCGCGCGGCGCCGTTCGGAATTCCAGTCGTCTGGATGACCCTCGTCCTAGGCGTCTGGTCCCAATTCTTCTATGTAGCCGGGCAGGAAGTCTTCTCCACCAGCTTTGAGGACCTCATTACCGCCGCTTATTCTAGTCCCCCGCTCACCGAGTTCGATTACCTCACAATCGGCCGGTCCATCTTTGCCGTCGGCCGCTTCCTCGCAGCGTTCCTACAGTGGTTTCTCAAACCCCGCTGGATCCTGCTTCTCTCTTACATCGGCATGATCGTCTTCGCCGCATTGAGCATGCACACTACAGGCAATGCAGCAATTGTGAGCGCCATGATGGTTTTCCTCTTCGAAAGCGGCGCCTTCAGCATCATCTTCGCTATTGCCCTCCGCGGTACAGGCCGGCATACCAAAACAGCCGGCACTTTTCTCACAATCGCCATCAGCGGCGGCGCATTCCTACCTTTTGCGCGATACGCTGCGCAGCTCGCAACAAACAGTACAGCCGACTCATACAGCGTCCTCGTTGCGCTATTTGCGGCTGGCGCTCTGTTTCCGATATATCTTAATCTTGTCCCGGCCGCTATGAAGCAAGTCGATCCTGTGCCGAATGAACACCTCCGGCATACCCGCCGTCGCAGCCGCCGACACAGTCGCGGTCCACGACCGAATGTTCTTCCGCGCGAGAAAGCCAACCCATCCCAGGGCGGGGTGTATTCGCGACGGCGAAGCGTCCTCGACGATCCAGACCCCTTGCCCAGTGTGGACTTTTCCGGTCCGAATTCTGCGGCAAGGTCGAGATCGGACTCCGTCGAGGATGCGGGCGGGGGCGACCTCGCTGCTGAAATTGACGTCGTGGATTTCCAGCGCACCCGGACAAAGGACATCTCTAGTACGAGTGATGAGATCTCGCCTATATAATCTTCTTTCGCCTCTTCTGTTTCTTGGTTTCTTGGAAGATTTCTATGTTATGTTTTGCAGTATACGATGCATGAAATGATACCCGGTGGGATTTTGGATATATACATAAGATGTTTTCGATTTGGGCTTCAACTTGGAGTTTGGGCATTGCATCTTTTGCATTCTTTTTGGCATATATACACATATATATACACCTGACTGAGCTTTGCATTGGCCTGGTTGGCTACATCGCGGATGGCTAGGAAAAGTGGTTTATTGCATCTCTTGCCTTTCTCTCCTCTAATTCTTCATGTTATATATGGAATGCATTTAGTCGAGCAGGTATTCGGAGAGCCAATCAATACACCACGGTATCTTCCCTTGGAGATATGGCAGGGCACATGTCTAGGATAGCTCCCAGCCTTCCTCGAGTGATCTACGTAGTACAAATGTGAGAATAATTCCAAAGCTATTTCAATCCCTACCCGTCCGTGGCAAGGAGGCGCATTCTTACCCCTGGGGAGGGAGGGGTATTCAGCGTCTGAATATTAATCTTAGGTAGGGAGGCCACAGCCTAACAGGACACATACTTCGTACATTCCATTCCAACCTCCTTCCTCCCCCGGACGTAGAATGCATCAGTCTCACCCACTTCTTTACCTTTCTGGCAGCCCTTACAGCCACACTCGCCCTTTTCATCCCACCGCTTACCCTGGCAGCACGACAACTCCCCAGCCCCGTCGGTGGCCTGCTTAACACGGATGCCGGATAGTGGGATTATGAAAAGCGTCGGTTCGTTGCAGGGGGGTTTGGCGAAGCAGGCGGGGAAGATTGCGCCTTCTTGATTTGTTTTCTGGGAAGGGGCTGGAGCAGGTGCGGCCTATGGGTGGGTATCTTAGCCGTTTTCTATCCAGGTTAATTGTTGAGTTAAGATGTTGAGTGCTGATATGCTTTTTATGTATGGGACTTGCGGGAAAGAAAGAGAGAGCAGGATAGGGCGAGACCAGGGAATTACGGTTGGAAGAGGACTTTGGCCTCAACTACTCACGCGTTGATAATGATAATGAGAACAGAAACGGCATAGGATAAGAGGCAAGCGTCTATGGTCTCTCTCTCCAAAACCATTCTATGATTGAATCATGATATCTTACTTTTATATCCTTCTCTTCGCAATATCGTATGATAGTATACCATCCAATTCATTCCAAAACAATCCACCATCAACAAGGATATTCACGAATAACCAACTCGCAGCCAAATCACTGAAACATCGTATCCATATCCAAATCAAGAAACTCAGGATTCATCTCAGCAGCATTCAACACATCATCAATGCTCTGGTCTCCTAGTCCCAGACCACCCATTTCATCCCCGCCCCCGCCCATATTCATATTAACATCCATATCCATCCCCACGGCGGCCGCCGCATTATCCATAATCTGGTTGAGGTTCGCCTGCTCGTCGCCATGGCTCTGCCCCTGGCCTTGTGCATGCGCATTGCCCGACGAGTCCATATTCATATCCATGCTCTGGTCTGGCTGGCCCGTGCCGGAGGGGTCAAGGTGCATATTCTGCATGATGTTCATGTTCATACTGACGGGCACGTTCATGTCCATGTTGACGTTGACGTTCATGTCGAGGTTCGGGGCGACCTGGGCCGGCGGGGCAAGGAGGGTATTTACGCGGCGGTAGAGGCGGACAACGAGTTCGGCGCGCAGGGGGTCCTTTTCGGATAATTTGGGGACGGATTCGTGGATGAGGTTTAGAGCGTCGCGCGGGGTGAGGAGGGGGTAGCGAGGTGGGTTGTCGGAGGGTTTGGAGGCGGCGTGCTCGTGGTGCGTTTGGAATTGGTCGAGCGCGTAGGACTCGGGCAGTGGGGCGGAGACGAGGCTCGCTGCTATGTCGAGAGCGATGTCGGCCGTGCCTGTGTTTGACTCGGTTTGGAACTTGAGTTCGTCGAGGAGCGCGGATAGAATGCGGGGGGCTCCGACCGTCCGGATGGCGGTAATCATCTGGCGGTGGGTATAGGATGGCGGGGCCATTGTGGCATCGGGGCTTGTGCTCCAAAGGATGAGAGACTGAAATGTTGCCCGGAAGCTACCGATGAATCCACCGGGGTTATGCGAAGACCAAGATTCGAGCTCGGATTTGTGGCAGCTTCCTGTCCGCTGGAAGGAGAGGCATGGATCTAGAGCGTCGAGAATGGGCTTGATGTCTGTCCGTGTGGGATGGCGGGCGCGCACGTCCTTGAGCTGTTCTTCTAATGAGCGCGCGGTGATGTTCAGGACTGTGAGGTGGATTTCGCGCCCCTCGCCCGATATTGAGGTAGGTGATACTAGCGACTGGAGGGCTTTCAGGGGGATGGTTGGGTCTGCTTCACTCTCCCAGATGTGATTGCCGAGCCAGGTGAGGGCGACGACGAGGGAGGGGAGGAGGAAGGGTTCGAGGAGGTCTGGTAGTCGATTGTTAAAATCAGGTTCTTGAATCTGGGAGTTGAGAGCTTACATTCGAACCCGCCTTTCAGCGTATCGAATTCCAGCTTTCCTGCTTCACATGCACCCAAGCTCTGGCTGAAGAGCGTCGAAACAAGCATGTAGAATTCCTGCGGACTGCACGCCGACATTGTCTCCTCGCTGATACCCTCGGCAATGAAGAGAGCCGCAATCCACTCGCCTAAGTTCTTGTTTTGCTTTCCGGTCAGCTCCTCCAGCTTTTGACTGGACGAACCTCGTTCAATCAACTTGATAATGAACGAATTATTGTTCGTGATACCGAGATCATACGGCCGTAGGTCGTACCGGTACTTGAACGTCAATACCAGTAGAAGAATGCTTCCGAACTCGTCGTACACCGGCTGACTCTCGCCCTGGTCTTCGTCCCAGTGCCAGGAATCGAGCAGCGCGCAGAGCGGCTGCAGGATCTGCTTTGGGCTGCGGAATAGCAGCATAACGTCGAGGGACTGCGGCCGGCGAGATAACGAGTTGCAGATATTCTTCAATGTCATGGTTTCTTTTTGCATGCAGAGGTCATGCATAACCTGCGACATCAGCATAAACACCACCAAAGACACTGGGGAAACGCACCTCGGTAATAGCGCCGACAATCGCGCCGGCATTGCCCTCGGTCGATTCAATATCACTGATCAACTGCTCTGCGCGTTCGTGATTGGCGCTAATCTGCGCCTTGAGGTCATCCTTGACATAGGAGCCTCCAACAGGCAGTGTCTGCATTGGATTTTCACCCAGCAACCGCTCGATACTGGACTCCGGTATCAATTTGTGTGACGCGCAGGAGAAGAGGAACTCCTGCCGCACATCCGACAGGGCGGTGTTGCCCTGCATAGAAAACATCTGAGAGAACGACGGGAAGGTGTTCGGGTCTATCCGGCTCAGGGCGTGGCTGATGCACTCTTCCATAGAGAAGGTTACCATTGAAACGGCCAGCAGGGCCGCGAAGAAAGGCGGTAATTTGTTAACTAAGAATGAGCGGAAGAGGAGCATAGTACGCGCGGACTCGTTGCGGTACATGGCGTTTGATAAGACGTCAAATGACGCGGTTATAATCTCCTCGATGAGGACGTCGTAGTGATCCTAGACCGTGAGCCAACGAAGATGGAGTACGCAAGCAGGAACTTACTGCATAACGATTGTAAAGATAGTTTAGTAATATACTGTCATCGACCAAAGGACGTCCGACAAGCTGAACGGTCAGCTTGGAACTTCTGAGCAAGTGAAAAGCGTACCATCGCATTGACATAAACGTAGAGACCAGCTCTAGAGTGTATAGTAGGCCCGTCCAACACGGACGCCTCAAACTGCAGCGCATTGACATTGACATCTCCCATCATCGACACCTCCAACTTGGACGGTGGCTGGCCATACAGATTGAACTGCTTCTGCAGGCTATCCAGCCGGCTGTGCAAGGGCGGATACATATCAGCACAAAGAGGAAGATATGCCGTAAGAGCTTGGCCAAGCCGTATCTTGAGTGCTGCAAAATATCAGCCATGATCTAGGATTGATGGATAAAGGGGGCGCACCCTCATGAGAGTTCGCGGAGAGAACTTCCACACCCTTCGTGGTCCCAGTCAAAACCGAAAGTAGGATCCCAACAGCCTCAAACAAAAGCATGGCATCAGGCGACCCCATCATCCCAGCCGGCTGGTTCGCATCCAGCTGGCTATTATGCCAGGCAATAATTGCCTGGATCCAATCGGCAATAGCAGAAAAGGTATGGATAACCTCAAGGGGCGTCTTAACCGTCGCCCCCGAATTGATAGACAGCATCGCATCTTGGACAATGCGGATATCCGTCATCAGAGTATAACACTTGCCCTTAGCCTTCGACTTCTTCTTCACAGACGCCACATCAGCGCCGGGCGACGGCTTGTCATGGATAGACGAGTGCTTGAGTAGGCAAGTCAGCACGGTGGGGACCTGGACGCGCCCCATCTTGCAGAGACAGTCGATGTACACGGGGAGCAGGGGGTCCCATTTTATGCCCGTTGCAACACGCGCCTGCAGCAGGGTCTCTGTGAGCGCTGAGTCGCCGATCGGGCAGCGCTGGAAGAGCAGCCTGCTCAGGTCCCTGAACTCGGCGGCATCGATCCGATGCAGCAAACAGCGCTGCACGAACGCCCTCCATTGTTCGCTGGCCATGCTCTGGCGTTTGCGGGGCTGTCTAGGTATCCTTACTCAGCCAGTTTCGAGTTGCGGGATTTTGTCCCAGAGCGCGGGCATCTTGTTGGTCGCGTCAAGCTTCCTTCATTGATTGAGATCGTGGAAACATGCTCGTCACGTGAATTTCCGCGTCACATGATTTGGACATATCGGCCAATCATGACGCAGAATTAGTTGTGTGGTTGCTTTGTCTAGAGTTCAAACTAATTAATTCTACAACTCGTGGACAAGATGCCAAGCAAGATGCGTAAGGCGTGTTCAAAATGATAAGTTAGTGATTTGGTATAGCGAGTTTGTTCAAATGTTTCTACATTGGTACTTGGATAGAGTAAGTAAAGGTGAAAACGTCTATGGTATAATAAGGTAAAACTATGCAAGAATGTATCTACAGGTAAAGCATAGTAGAAACGAATCCGGCGCCTCTATCCACGCTAAGAATGGAAAGATCATAACAAGACAGAAACCCGAAAGGCTGAACAAACGTAGGAATCATCATCATGCATCAACATCACCCATCAAGGGAGGAATCTAGTTCCACCAGTCACCCTGGTCCTTCATGGCCTCGACGACCTTGGTGAAACCAGCAATGTTGGAACCAGTGACGAGGGAAGGCAGGACGCCCTCGGCAGGGGTAGCGAACTTCTGAGCAGTCTCGAGACCGTTCTTGAAGCAAGACTCCATGATGCCCTTGAGGCGGGCGTCGACCTCCTCGGTGGTCCAGGAGAGGCGGGCGGAGTTCTGGGCCATCTCCAGACCGGAGACGGCGACACCACCGGCGTTGGCGGCCTTGCCGGGGGCGTACCAGATGGCGTCACCGGGGTTGGCGTTGCGGTGGGCCTCGAAGATGTCGATGGCGGCCTGGGTGCAGCCCATGTTGGAACCCTCGGCGATGTAGCGGACACCGGACTTGATGAGGGCCTCGGCTTCCTCGCCGGAGACTTCGTTCTGGGTGGCGGAAGGGAGGGCAACCTCGAACTTGCCGGAGATGTTGGTCCAGGGGCGGGCACCGGGGATGTAGGTGAACTTGCCAGCGAAGGCGGAGGACTCGGCGAGCTCGGAGAGCTGCTTACGGGCGACCTTGAGATCGGCGATGATGGCAATCTCCTCGGGGGTGAAGGAGGCGGACTCGTCCTTGACAATGAGAGAGCCCTGGGAGTCGGAGAGGGAGACGACGGAACCGCCGAGCTCAATGACCTTGAGGGCGGCGTACTGAGCAACGTTACCGGAGCCGGAGATGGCGACACGCTTGCCGGAGAAGGACTCCTTTCCGCCAGTAACGTGCTTGATCATGTGCTCGACGTAGTAGACGACACCGTAACCGGTGGCCTCGGGGCGGATCAAGCTACCACCCCAGGTGCCGCCCTTGCCGGTGAGGACACCCTCCCATGAGTTGCGGATCTTGCGGTACTGGCCGAAGAGGAAACCAACCTCGCGGCCGGTAACACCGATATCACCGGCGGGGACGTCAGTGTCCGCGCCAATGTGCTTGCAGAGCTCGGTCATGAAAGAAACGCAGAAGCGGCGGATCTCGTTGTCAGACTTGCCCTTGGGGTCGAAGTCGGAACCACCCTTGCCACCACCCATGTTCACTAGAAAGTGGGTCAGTACTCTCGGCAACTAATTCCGGGCGTGACATGATACGTACGTCCTGTGAGAGCATTCTTGAAGATCTGCTCGAAACCGAGGAACTTGAGGATAGAAAGGTTGACGGAGGGGTGGAATCGGAGACCACCCTTGTAAGGACCAAGAGCGGAGTTGAACTGAACACGGAAACCGCGGTTGACCTGGACCTCACCCTTGTCGTTCTCCCAAACGACACGGAACTGGATGACACGCTCAGGGACAGAGACGACCTGGAGGGCCTTGCGGTACTCGGGGTGCTTCTCGAAGAGGGTGGAGTTCTCGAGGGTCGAGGCAAGCTCTGCGAACGTTAGCCATGGTCAATGGAGGTCGGTAGCGGCGGTCATACCCTTGTAGGCCTGCTCGAATTCGGGCTCAACGGGAAGGTTAGACATTTTTTCTCGGGGAGCTTATCGCTGATAAGATAATGTGTCAAAAGACAAAAGATGCGCTATGGAGCCCGCGAGAAGTCAATTGAAGCAACAGAAGTTCAAGACTCTGATGGATGAAAAAGAGACCGGACAGAGGGGCACACGACCGAGTTTAAGTATGACAGAGGGGTCGGGTGGTGGGGGGGAGGCGGAGGGCGACCTGGCGGAAAACAACGAATGAGTATACAGCCGGAGTCGGACGAGAAGATCCCTGGGTGCGGCCACGGGAGGCAACTAAAATCTGGCGGGAAAGTCGGCTGCCGGCCTGGCTCGGTGGGAGAGGCGTGAAGGCCCGGGGATCACTGGTCAACCAGGTTCAGTATCGGAAGAACCATAGGACTGGATAGGGAGGGCTAAGCACGAAGCTAAAACTGGCGAGTCCGAATTTCGGGGCGTTAGTCGATCGATTAAGGTCACAGTTTCAGGTCCTTATCTCTGGGCGGAAACCCACCTGCTTGCGGAATCCGGGACATTCTCGTGGCATTAGGTAAAAGTTCGACAATTCCCCATTCACGGGAATACACGGTGGCCATCTCCAGCGGCGACGTTGCAAAACTCCGTTGTCCGTAGCAGTGGACTCTGATTGCCTGGAGGGAAGGAGAAATGTGCTCCGGGGAGGGGAGAGAGGATGCCAAGCTTGTTCCTGGCCCCACGTGCCGCTGCTGAACGCCCTCTTCTGTATGGCGGGGGATGTTCGACTAAGAAAGGACCTGATCACTGCTCCACATCTATTCTAATCTCTGCTATACTACAAGCCTACGATGGGATTCAGTTTTTGTGAGAACCTCAATTGAATTAAAACCACGGAGTAGGCATGAAAATACACAAGCAGATCCGTCTCCGCACTTGCTCCCCTGCTCCGGGGTACGTCAACACACAGCAGTTACTCCAGTAACTGCCCTCATCCTTATCAGTCGGGTGAATAATCCAATGACCAAACCAAAAAGCATGCATGGATCAACAGTTGTCCTACACTCACCGACGCCTCGATCAGCAATGACCAGCATAACCCGTGGGGAGTCGAATCTCGGCAATCGGCAGCGGGCACTTTCGCACTCCAACTTGCCACTCTTGAAGCATTCACCGGGGTAAGCGCGCGAATAATATGCCGGTTTACGCTGGGAAGACGCAAGGTGATGCCGCTTCAGGCTTAAGCCTCGCTCGATCGGCTGCCAAGCACCAGCTAATGCAACCTTGACCCTGCTATTGGTGCGTGCGCTCTGCTGATAAGCGATGACCAAAGCCGATATCTAAGAGCAAAGCCCGTACTTTTTTTTGTAAATAATCTGATGGAGGTGGGAGAAGTTAGAACCAGAGAATCAATATGTGCTTGGCCATCGGCGTTTGGCAGCAAAGAACCCCTCAAGCAAATTGATCTCGGACTGACCAACTCCTACCCCACTGCCGTGCGATAACCAGAGAAAGAGAGGTGTAATTTCTTGATGTCAAGTGGTACTTTCCAGAACTGAGGTCCTGATTACTCCATAATGCCTGCCGATCTCTGGGAAATCACCGGGGTAGGGTTAATGCCCCCATACCCCAGAGTTGCCCTTATCTCTAACCCCGCGCTCCTCCCTTGCACGTGCAGTATGTATGTCGATTCTTCGGGCAAACGGTCGATTTCCAGCTCGCCGATTCGACTTTCTTTCCCTTCTCACGCTGCTCCGGGATCGTACTCTTTGACGTTGAGGTCACTTGATCGCTGATTTTCGTCCTTCCCAAATCCGCAGGCCTTCGTCGTCGATGGCGGCCGAGATGACTGCATGCCGAGAACTTGCTTTGGGATATGAACAAATCATGATCGCATAGTGCTTAAGCTTCGATCCTTCGATCGCCGAACAATCATCATATCCGAACATCGGTGGCTAGGCAGCAATCTGAAGCGAATGCGATAGGTATACTCCAGAGTAGCGCACGGAGCCTTCCGTATGCAAACCATGATGCAGCTTTGAGAGAGAGTATATCGAAGTTTATTTAGTGGATCCACGATCATACGTGACACAAACCTTGTAGTAGTATGAGAGCTTGGGAATGAGATTGGCCAAGAAATAATGGCTTTCTTGTGTTGAGCTGGCGACCAATTCCAAGGCTTGTTTGCGATTTAACCCTAGGCGCTGAACACCAGAAGCGAGGCCACTTGACTATCAAGACCTCCAGTCCTAATTGCAACTTCGTATATGCATGGAGTCGGCAACAGCAGCACCCCTGCCTCTGATTTGGGCATGAAGGTCAGGTCCCCTTGCCCTGACTGAGTCACTGGGTGAATTTCATCTGCGATATTGTTCCACCATGAAATGGGGAGTGTGGCAATCAATATTGGTATTCAGGCGCGGTGCTCTGGGCACTGGAACGCGTTCGGGGTTTGTTCCACAGCGATGGCACTTTTGCATACATCGCGGACCGGTCTTGCGTGTCGTGTAGTACACTGCAAAGTGATTCTGACTGTATCCAATTGACATTCAGGAAATCTGCTCGCGTAGAATAGACAGCAAGTTAGTTACACCCAAAAGTGATGCTGGGTTCCAATATTCCTGCGCCCTGGATTGCTTTCCCTATCAAGCGTACATAATATGGGGCAGGATCACTCGTTTCCCGTCAAGTACCTGTGTCGCACTGGTGTTCAGGGTACGAGGGAGGTTGCGTATTTGTTTGCGCATCCACGGAGCTTTTCTTATCGATAGCCCAACCTCGGTCTTTTGGTCTTGTTAAATCTCGAGGCGACCCTGGCCTTTGCATCCGCTGTTGATGCCTCCCGAAGACGTGTTTGCCAAACAGCCAAATCTGTTTGACTCAAGGCCAATTGTTGTTGTGGTGCCATCCCATGATAATGAGCATATAGCAAAGAAACTTCGAACCAGGGAATACCTGAAGAAACCCTTCATGGCCTGCAGACGTCGTGGCGGTGCCGGCTGGAGTTGCACGAAGATATGCACATGCGCCACAGTGGCGAACTAGCCAATGCGGCCATATCCTTCCAAAGTCGCAGGTTCCAGTGTTCGAATGAGAGTCCAACGGTTTTCAGCAACGGGCTTGCGGGAATCAAGGGGCAAGTGGACCATTTTTCTTCAGAAGGAAAAAGACTGTAGGGTGGCTGGAAGATTGGCCATGTCAATCGCGTGGCGTCGGAGGCATACTGTCTTGACCGAGTAGAAGTAAACAAGCATAAAGCCGCGCCATTTAGCTGGTAGGATAAACAAGATCTTCTCATGGTCAGATTCACCGTGATGGTGCAAGGGTGATTTGGGCTCGACCGACCCCAGCTGAAGGATCTGATCCCTTGAAGCAGAACAAGCCTGGTGCCACGGATTGGAGGGAAATGTCGGTCTCAAAGCAGAGCATTGCATGGCGCGAAAAAGTAGTCCATGGGTAGCCCAGAGGCTAAACAACCATGTCTTCCCTAATCAGAGAAGTGGCAGTCAGCAGACCCGATATACGATACTTGGTATGCCATGGCGTTGCCGACCACAAAAGTGCTCCATGCAGCAGAAACCTGAGAAGAGGATTTTGGGTGTGTCACATTCCACTGCCCATAGCCTTCTCAAGATCGAGAAGACACAATTTCTGCTACTCGCTCATCCACTCCTAGCTCACCAACCAAATCGGCATAGATCGTGACCTGACCAAGCGCCAGAACCACAAAGCGATTGGACGCCAAACTAATGGATACGTCGAAATATGTCCATCTTCATCGAAGAGCCTCGCAAGGAGTCGGGCTCCAGGGGTATCATGCTCGGCAGGGCTCCAGCCGTGCTTCCATCCCTGTCGGTCTGCATGGCCTCGAAAGAGCCCGGCGAGCTGAGAGCGAGAGACCGAACTCGTGCGGACAGTATTGACGCCGTAGGGTATCGGGAAGGCTAGGGAGCCGCACTCATTCGTTAGACCAAAATGATGATGGGCGATCTATTGATTCCTCTAGATCAGGATGGTAGTTCGAGGCGTCTGCTCCTCGGGCCTTCCGCTCAGCACTGTTAGAGGACACGGACGGCTCCTCAAAAACTGCAAACAGTTACCAGGTTGTATAGTTCTGTAAAGCCGATCGACTTGGCCTCTTTTTGCTCCTTGCTAAGTGCGACCGGTTATATCTTGACGTCAGGTACCAACCGTACCTAAGGAGTAGACAGGGAAGAATTGGAATGTGCTTGGGTGGAGCTACCCCAAGGGAGTCGCGGTGGAAAAAATAACAAAGACCCTAAGCTGTAGGGTAGAGGAAGCCGCGATATAGTTATGGCTCAATCCAGCGACGGGCATAGTAGATGTCGATGCATAACCAGAAGACAGGCCGGGCGCCTCGTTCTGGAATAAGAGTACGGAGGTAGGTACATCGGTTTTGATAGAAGTTTCTTACCGTATCGTACCGGTTACTGATACCCGCACTTGGCCGGGGACAAAGTGGGCTAGGCCAACGAACCACTCAGAGAATGTGTTTACTTTCATTACTCCAGCTGGCGTTGACTTGCACAGTACGGAGTACAGTGCTGCAATGAATCAATAATGGTTATTGCAGGTCAGATTTATCTAGTCCATCATGGAGGCCAGAGACGCTCTATTGATTTCTAACTTTTCTATCGTTTCTAGAACCCTGGTACATCGGGCAAACACATGGCTCATCGGTGCCTGAAAATGGATAGAAAGGGGCAACACGGAGTCGCGCCCCTTACGCCATACCTACCTTGTCAAGAGACTCAAGACGTTCTGGGACAAGGATTCTCACCCCAGCTTTCTGACAGCGATGAAGGATGTCATGGAGGCGAAAGGATCCTAAGGTTCATAGACTGGTCTCCGACCGCCGACCTGCGTATACTATATAGCCTGCCAGGGAGCGCCAGCCTATGATGGTCAGGCAGGACAATACTGGAAGCCTGCTCCGAGTTCCGTACGGAGTACAGCGCTCTCCCAAGTTTCCCCTAGCCCGGTTCCTTGGGTCGAGCCGTCGAAGCCAGGGCGAGCCCCTAACCACGATCGGCAACTGCGATCGAGAGGCTGGAGGCTTGGAACATCGAATCTCGAGCTAAATCCTTCGAGGTTGACCTGCCTAAGCTGGCCCGGTCGCCGAGGGAGACCGGTGGCAGGGCGCTTAGGAAATCGAAAACAACAGGGATCGGTTTTGAGAGCTCGGGATGGGCTGCAGAGAATCTCGATCTCGAATCTCGATGGCCCTATCGCCGTTTCCGGATCCACCGCTGGGCAGGAGGACACGCGACGAGCCGTCGACCCTGGTTTCTATGTCGGACTCGCTGACAGCCTGCATGGGTAGTACCTGAGGCTCGTCGGTTGGGGTTTTATTTTCTTTGAATGCAAGGATTGGGCTTTCTATTGCCAATCATTTGCTTTTTGTTGAGAGCGTTGGATACACTCTGATATATCTAAGTCACTGCGGCAGACTGTGCTTGACAGTGGAACGCCATACTAGGTTATTGAATCCAGGAAAAAAGCAAAACTAAAAAAAAAAAAAAGGAACAAGGGCGCGCGCAAACCAATGAACAACCGCCAAACGAGCCAAAAGAGTACTTATACCGACAACCAGCACTTATTGGGTACCGGAACCCAACCCTGATATTTTTTTTGTTGTGTCTATCTGACCGTTGGCTCTGCTTTGCTCTGGCTGTTTCTCTCCGCTCCTTCCTCAAATCTTCCTCTTCATCTCCTCCGTTGTCCTTCATATCTCCGAGTACGTCTCATGCGCCCCGTTTCATATCTTCAGATGGGCCCTCCGTATCAGAAAGCCCGTATACATCATCGTTCTTTCCTTCCCTCGCCTCTCTTCTCTTCCTCAACCATCTCTGTCTTTTTCTTGTCATGAATGGTGCTTGTCGTCTTCATAGATGGCATCACCCAGCAGATGTCCATGAACGAGTCTCACCCCGGTAGAGGACTAGGTTCCGCGATCCGAAATCTGTTCCGCTCCTCCTCACCCTCTCCTCCGCGACGTCGCGTATCGCGTCTGCTGCGTCGAAGTCGGACTGTGGTCGCCAAGTACGTTCTCTTTGCTGTCTGCTCCCGTTCGCGCCCGCCTGCCAGTCGGTACCCAATGCGTTGACTTGTGTTTCAGAGTCAATGCTGCGCCGCACTTGCCCGATTCCTTCTACCCACCCGCCTCCCGTTGCATCATCGCGTACCGGTTAAACCTGAAACTTTGCTGGGATAACCCGAGGAACTCGGAAAAAATGAGATTGGACGTGGAAGAACTGTGCTGAAACAATGTTCTCTTGAAACAGACACTCGGAAGAGCAGACAGCCCGTGCACCAGGGCCAAAAAGCGTCTCTCCCGATCCAGACCCGACGGCGATGCTAGGACTCTCCGAAACGCCTCAAAGTGCGAATCACGACAGTTTCGACATCTTCGAATGGTATCCCCATTACCAGAATTGCCAGCGTTACTTCCTGGACCATGCGCAACACAGCACACCTGTTCAGGCGGTGTCCGCCTACGTGAACATTCTACTTCCGTTTCAACGACAACCTTATCCGGCTCATAATGCCTCTAGCGGGCCACTTTCGAGTACGGCCGACGGGATTACCCCGGAATCTTCATCGACGTCGAACGCACTACCACCGCCAGTTTCTCTGTTGCCGTACATTCGCCGCCTTGTAGCGACAGGAATGGATTATCCTGGGATGCTCCATGGATTCTTCGGTGACGACTGGCAGGCGGGGGTAGGCCCGTTGCACGAAAAGGAGCGTTGCAACTATCTGCTCGCGGCGAGGAGTGGAGGATGGGGTGTGGTGAAGAGCGAATACGACATCTCCCCGCTGGAGACGATTCCCTTTTTACGGCCCCTACAAGGACCCCTGGAGGAGGAGTTTGTGGCGGCGTATAAAAGCTGGAGTGAGTGGCTTCTCTTGAGAGACTGGGAATTTGGACCTCGGGCGCCGGACGGCCTGCAAGATTCATCCTCTCAATCCTCACGACCACAGAGTGCACGAGAATGACGTGATCATGGACGAGGAACGCCTTTTTTGTGATCGGCTTTCTTGACGTTTAGCCCTGATATGCATTTGCAGGAGCAATACTACGGTGTTCAATTGTCCCACTCAATAGCGACTGGTTCAGGAGAGACAATGAACCGGCCCCCTCGACATATTTGCTGTGAACGGCTCATCGCGCGCGCGAACCCGCAAACTACTCCATCCCCTAAAGGAGGCGAGAATATGTCATACTCGTAGATCCTGCATTCAACCCCTGCCGAACCCCCTGACCTCTGGGACGCACAGTGGCTGCCTATGCTTGAGGTAACTGCCAGCAAGCGAACCAATAATGAGCCGACTTCCACAAACCACCGAAGTATCTATGACGACGATGTGGATTGTCCTCGGGAATAACGCGGGAAAAAACTCCCTTCGAAGTCGATGAAACTTCTTCGAAGCCAAACCTCGAATCAGTACTAGTACACTGTGGTACTAGACCGATCGTGACCCCACTAGTTTGTCTTCTGCGCACCGCCAGTGGAGCAAAACCGCACGTTGGCGTCTTTGGGTTCGGAGATTTAACTGAATCCTGTTCCCTGACAGCCACTTTCCAAAGGCGGACTCAGAGATCGTCCATCTATTTATACAAAGCGCGAATCAGGACTTCCACAATGCGCATCCATGACTTTCTGATCTTCAGGCCCACTTGCGTGATAGTAACTCTTTCTGGAAGGCTTCGATAATGGCTGCGGTGGCGTTGCTGAACTACGGAATCAGCAATTTCATGAATTGGCCAGTCAGCGTTTTCCATGTCTCAGCAGAAAGCATATGCATTTTGATCTTCGTTGAGCAAAGCACGCGTCCACAAAATTGCCTTGAAGTCAAAATGAACGGAGAACTGTCTTGACATTGGCGGCTTCCTACCGATATCTTTTTCAGCACAATATCCAGGATACCCTGGCGTATACGGCTCTACGCTCACCCGGCGTTGAACAGAGTATAGACGAACTATAAAGATATGAAACAGATCAACTCAGTCCACCGGCAGGGTGACTTCGTGACAAAGGCATGAATAATCAAGTAATTGTATCACTCAAAGGCTCTGCCCCTTTTCTAGACGCATACTCTGTACTACCTCGGTTTTCCATCCATGATGCTTCAATGTGCTGCGAGTCATGGAAACGACCTGTCACTGTCAAAGTTCGACTAGAGCAACCACCCCGAAGCTGAACCACCGCCTCTACATATAAGGCGATGCATACTGAGTAGGGAAATTCTCAGGGCAAGTCGGGCTCAGCAGCGTCTCTCCGACCCGTCATCGCTTACCATGCAAGCCCTGTGAAGGGCAGGGTTTTATGAGGTGAAAGATGATGATATTCCTAGGATCTTGAAGTAGCTAAGGATGTTCCTCTACCGCCTAGCTTACATAATGCGGCAGAAAATTGTTATTATTAATAGTGCCGGGGAATAGAGAAGTCTATGTTCTTGTAGACTAGATAACAGGAAAAGCGTGAAATAAAAATAAAAAAATTATGCATAAAAAGAGAAGAAGCAGGGCAAGCAAACATAAAGGTAGAAAAAATATAAAATTTTATTATAAAGTCTTATTTTGCATATAAATTTACTTAACATGCTTAAAGTTATATTTAGTAATAAGGTTTTTATAATTTATATTATTAGTTTATACCTATTTATTATAATTAATAAAATAACTAAGATAGCATATAAGGTACTTAATATAAGGAGTTTATAAGTAACTATATTTATAAATATAATAATTAAGTAGTTTCTTAATTTTATAAAAGTTATTAAAATTAATATTTTTAATTACTGCAAGCGGAGCAGGATAGTAATAATTTTATAAATTTTTTTTAAATAAAGCAGGTTTAAGCTGCACTATAAATACTATAAAATATATTTTTTAGTTAGGTGGTAAATTTTTTAGGTGGTAGGCCATGCGCCTAATATATTTTTTAACTTTAAAAGGGCTAGTAAATTATTTAGTAAATTTAAATAAAAAATAAGCAGGCACAAGCAAAGTATATTTATAATATAAGCGTAAATAAATAGGCTAGCTAATAATAAACTTAATAAGCTTATATTTTTAGTTATAGGCAACCTTTATGCGGATAGTAATAAAATTTAATACTTTTTTAGTATTAAAGCGCGTAAAAAAATCCTAATTTTACTAAAAAACTTTTTACAGGATGTTTTAGGGTAAACATAAGTTAATTTTAAATAAAAGCTTGTGTGGCATAAAGTTTATAATTTATAAGTAAGTAAAATTTACTATAAAAATTATGGCTAGTAAGATTACTAGCTATAAAAAGCCTTAAGTTATTATATAATAAATTATTACTTTTACTTTTTATATTATTTTTTTAAAAAAATTATTTATTTATAGGTAAGCTATGGTAGCATAGTGCTATATTATATTAAAAATAAGTTTAGTAAATATTTCTTGCTAAAAAAAATAAGAACTTTAAATCTTAGTTAAAAATAAAGCACCTTAAAATACCTTAGTTATAGGTATAATAATATTTTATAAAGGTAAAACCCTATTTTTAGGTAATTTATATAAAATATCCTGGAAAAAGGCCAAGGTGCTTAATAAACTTATTTATTATAATAAGTAAAATATTAAAATAAATAATATTTTTTTAGGTGTAGGAATATTCTTAGCATGTTTGTTAGGCGTAAATTAATAATAAAATAGTTTTATAGTAAAATTTATAGTAATTATATTAAATAATATGGCTGCTATTCCTATAGGTTACAAAGAACTAAAAGGTTTATAATACTTAATAATATTTTTAAAGTATAATAAATAGCAAGTAATATAATTTTAAAAAAGTGTTTAACCTTTATATAGCATAATATTATAAAAAGCCTGCTAATAAGAATTTAGGCCTTAATATTCATGCTTATTATAAATTATATAAAATACCTCCGTGGAAAGTAACTAAGAAATATATAACTATAATTTTATAAGTAAGGTAGGCATGCTATTAATATTCACTATTTTTTAATATTTTATGTAAAGTATACTATTTTTATTTAATAAATATAAAAGGGTATTAGTTTAATTATTTTCCAGGGCCTTAAAAATTACTAAAGCATAAAAATTATTTTTATACTTATTTTTTAGGTGTTGCCGGAAGCTTTTTAAAATAAATAAAAAAAATAATATATAATTATTATTAGTACTTGCTTTAGCTAGCAAAATAAGAATAGCAAGTAAATTATTTAAATTTATAAAAGTTTTTAGTATAAAAGTTTTATAAGGTAATTAAAAAAGTATATTTAAAATAATATTAACTTTACCTGGCTTATAAAAAAGGTCTAGCCTAAATTATTAAATAAATATGCTTGCTTAAACCAGGCATAGGTTTAAATTTTTAACAGCTATAGTATTTAATAAAGTTTGCTTAAATATACTAATTATAAAAATATAATTAATATAAACTATTATATATTTTACTATTTTTATAAGGTGGCGGACTTTTTTAATTATTTAAACTAGGTAAAAAACTTCCAGTTTTATTAACTAGTAAAAAAGTTTAGCTTTAATTAAAATATAAAAAAAAAAAGTACTAGCTTTACGCAAGTTTATAAAAAGGGAATTTTTAAATTATTATAATAAAAAGCAAGGTTAATATAATAAATTATAAAGCCATGGCCTAGCTTAAAGGTATTTAAATTTATATAAAGTATAACTTTTAAGTTAAAATAGTAAAAAAACTATGGTTTTTAAAACTTATTTTAAATATCCTTAAAAATATAAAGTTTTTTAAAGGTAAAAATATTTAATAATATATAGGAGGCGTAGTCCTTGCAAAGTTAGCCTTTTTTTAATATAAGCTTAAAAAGATTTATTTTTTTTAGTTATAAGGGATTAATTTACTTGGCATATTTTAAAATCACGTGTTTAAATTAGCTAGTTAGGCCTATATAATATTTTAGCTAGTAAAAAGTGTAAAAAAATTTTAGGGCTAAAATAGCTTTAATTTTTTTTACTAATATTATAAGGCTAAGTGTGTTAACTTATTATTTAAGAAGTTATATTAATAAAAATCCTAAAAAATTTTTTAAAGGTTTTAGTTTTATATTTATATTTTTAAGTTTTTAAAAAACAAGCAAAAGATGCTGGAGATATTTTTTAAAAAATTTAAATATAACTATAATATTATTAATATATACGCGGTAAAATTCTTAGTATTTAGCTAATAATAAATTTATTTATTATTAAAGGTAAGGGACCAAGTTAATAAATCCTATAATAATTATATAAAATATTTTTTAGCCTTAATAAAAAATTATTACTAAATAATTTTTATACTTTTATTTAACCAGCTATTAATAAAAAAATTTAGCTATGTTTATAATAAAAATATACATGTATTTTTAAATAAGGCTAACTATCTTAAACTATAAAAAAATTAAATAAATATTAAGCTTAGCTTTTTAATTTACTACTTAAAGGTTAATAATAACATGTTTTTTTTATTTTTTTATGCTATTTTAGTTAACTACTATTTGCTATACTATAAAAACAGGAAATTTTATTAAAATATATTTAATATATTACTCTAGTTTTTTTAATTATACTAATAAATTAAAGGTGGTATTAATAACTTCTTAATTAGTAAGTAAAACTTAATATATATAAGTTTTAGGTAAGCAATATTACTAGCCTTTGCGTATAAAAATAAGTATTTAATAGCTTTTTAGCAGGTTTACTATATTTATATTTATACCTTTAAAATTTACCTATATATTAAATTTTTTTATAAGTACTTAATAATATAAAAGTTCCTTAAAATCACGGTAATAAATTATAACTTTATTAGGTAGTAGTCTTGTATTTTTTAAGAGTACTTTTTACTAGTTTAGTAGCTTAAAAAGTTATAAGTATTTAATTTTATTTAATAATACATACAGCGCGAATATAAATAAGGTAAAAATAATATATTTTATAGGTTTTTTTTTTTATAAGTATAACTTTATAACTTTTTTATAAGATT